TTAAATGAATTATCATTATACTTTTACAATTACTCAGGAAAAGACTTGATGATCTGAAACTTCGTCATCAAAGCAGTTATGATTTAGAATTGCAAAATGATGAAATTGTAAATAAAGCCATTAAAATTATTAAAACTCATAGCGAATGTTACAAGTTGAGTATTGAATGAATAATATACTTTAAATTCTATTATAATCAACGAAGATTCATTAAAATATTTTTTCAGATTATTTGATGTTGCCGATCGATTTTCCCGACCAGTATTGTTAATTGTTTTACTTCATCTGCTAATTTCATTCACAATACTCGGATTTATGGTAATATAGAAATGAACCTCATGGTATTTCATTTGTAATAATCAAAGTATATCGATCGAAATTCATAATGATTACATCGCGCATTTTTTCCTTTACATGCGTTAACGAAAAAATTATATCTTGTTTTCTATTTAATATTAATAAAAAAAAGGGAGCGATGAAATTTGTCGAGAACATATAACTTTCAGATGATAACTCAGTGGAAAAAAGGAGTACCCTTGGAAGCAGCCATCATGGCCGTTGGCTTTGCCACAAATGTTTTCATTTTAGCAACTGCTTGTTTTCCAAGTCAATTGTTAATTGATGCCAGTGATGCAGTCGGACTTTCCTGGTGTGAAATAATTCATTAACAATAGTTTTAATTTTTTTTTTTTAATATCATTATATTTGCAGTTATTGCAGTGAATGGTATCAGTTGACACCAAAAAATAGATTAATTTTTCTCATGACTATGATGAGAACATTGAAACCTTGTGGCTGGGTTGCTGGTCCTAGTAACGTTTTGGATTTTGGAACAGTTGCAATAGTAAGATTTATAATGTTTATTTTTTCGACTTGATTATTGATGATTTTTTGCATAATTTAGGTCCTGAAGACTGGAATGTCTTACATAACGGCTATGCTATCTCTCGAGTTATGAAGACCTACTTATGTCATTTTCTATCGTTACATAAGTTTTCATTAAATTTGTAAAAGTTCAAGTATTACAATACTTTGATAAACGGATTACTGTCCATTTGAATCATGATATATGAAAAAAATGAAAAAACTTTATAAAAAATGTTACTAAAAAAAAATCAACTTATAAAATTACTAAATTATTATTAAAAAAACTCGTATACTTATAGTATATTTATAACATACTGTTAAATGTGTATCTATATTTACATAAATTATGACTTCGGAGTATAGACATGAGCTTGGAGCTTTACAGAAACTTATATCTACGTATTTTTTTTTTAAATTCACTTGCTTACCCAACGAGCTATAAGAAGTTACTCGTCAAAAATATACTTAATATCGTTGAATATATTTTTTTATTTTTTATCAGTGTTGCGTATACTGAAAAACTGCATACCATTGATTCATAAATAAATTTATAACAAACTTTTTTCCGATGGATGATTCAAAAACTGCTGCAGAAGTGGAAGAATTCTTTTCCGAACATGCATACTGGATCTCAATAACATTCAAATTGATCTTTTGGTGGCCTTACAGTAATTATAAAATTAATTTAATCGGCAGAATTTTGTCTTACACGAGTATAATCGTATTAATGTTCGCTATGGTTAAAATTTTTTTGTCATTATACGAAATTTAATCATACCAATGCTCATTTTTACTGATAAAAAAATACTTTAAAGTTCGCATGCATGCACGAAGAGATCACAAATCCTTCAGAAACTAACTCATATATTTTAGTTGAAATGATTTTTCAATTATCTTTGACGATTGTCATAATGATTCAACATCCAATGGGGATTTTATATAGTCAGAATGTAAGATATTGTTATACCGATTATTAAATAGGAAAGTAATATTAAATATCAATTCTATATTTAAGCTATGTGACTGTATACACACCATTTGGAATTTATGTAAAGTAGGAGAAAATTCAGTAGAAAATGATTTATGGTTAAAATCCTTGAAATCTGCCAACCATATTTTCAAAATAGTATTCTGTAAATTCCTACATATTTTTATAAAAATTTGTTTCAATTGATAACGATTGATTTTTTATAGGTTTTATCTTAGCTTCTTTTTCGAGTTTTGTTTACGTTCCTTTTATTTGGAATTATTTATTGTATAATACATCCAAGCCCCTTTTGTATGCTAAGTTTTCTGACAATGACGATGCTCTTTTTGGTTATATTTTTATTTTCGAAACGGTTGTAATTAATTTTTTTACAATCTTCATTGGAACTATCGTATGCTCATACATGTTTTACAGTTACATGTTAATTTCTCGATTTCGCCAAACCAAGTATTTTAATTTTAATTATGTCACACTTTTTCAACACTAATATCGATTATCATTATATTCAATGCAATTTTTTAGAAGAAAAATTGAGAGTATAAAATTTCTAAATCAATACTGTTCTGATTTCGAATTAATAAATAATGAAATTAATAATAAGGTCATTGAAAGCATCAAAGCTCACAAAGAATGTATTAAGTTAAGTGTGATTCAAAACCGTATTTCAAAGTTTAAACAACGGAGGATAATGAAAATATTCTTTCAGATTATTTGATGCTGCAGATCAATATTTCCGACCAGAACTGTTAGTTGCTTTATGCCACCTTTCATTTGTATTTTCTATGCTCGGATTTATGGTAACATTTAAAAATGCTTCACTGTCTTATATTTATGATGATTGAAGATATAGATTAAATTTTACTAACATTGAGAAACATATTCAAGAACTCGGCCCTTTTTTAGATTGTGACGCAGTTCAAAAATGGAGCATTAATTGGAACGGCAATTTTAGCCGTTGGTGTCATAGCAGTCGTCTCTATTTTAATGATTGTTTGTATTCCAAGTCAATTATTAATTGATGCCGGCGATGAATTAGGATTTTCCTGGTACGAGGAGATGATTGGTAACAAATTTTTTTCAACTTTTTCATCATATTATTATAACAGTTACAGTAGTGGATGGTATCAGTGGAGTCCAAAAAACAGATTAATTTTTCTCATGACTATGAAGAGAACATCGATACCGTCTGGATGGATTGCTGGGCCTGGTATCATATTGAATTTCAAAACAGTTGCAATAGTAAGATTTATAATGTTTCTTTATTCGACTTAATTATTAATGATTTGTAACACAATTAAGGTCATGAAAACAGGAATGTCTTATATAACGGCAATGTTATCTCTCGACTCATGAAAACTTTAAATGAAACGGAATATGTTCAAAATTGATTGCTGTATTTTTGGAAATTGTATTTGCAAAATGTAAACAACTTTTTTTTTTATTATTGCCATGAACAAATCAATAATTTTGAATTAAAATTGTGTATAATATAATATAAACCTGTATAATGGTATAATGGTATACATATAAAACTTTTTCATAAGTCAAGTATTAACAAATATTATATAAATTCAATGTAAGAACATATTTATTGTAATATTATTATTTCTTTTATTTTGCCATTTCTTTACAGCTTTTTCTAACAACTTTATTATATTCATACTTATATAAATTTATTTCATACAAATAATAAAATAACAAGTGTGTCAGTAAGCAAAAGGTTACGCAGTAAAAAAGTATTTCTGAGGATTTTTCGACATTAAAATAATAGAAATATTTAATTGATATTATATTCATAATTATAAAATGGATAATAAGAAAAATATTTCCGAATTGGAAGAGTTTGCAAGTGAACACATGTACTGGATTTTAATGATGCCCAAAATTCTATTTATCTGGCCTCACAATGATTATAAGATAAATCTAGTTGGTAGGATTGGGTTTTACATGAGTTCGACCATTATTTTTCTTTCTATGGTATGCGCACTTAAAGATATATCAAATCATCTGAATTTTCTCGATTTAATTAATTGAAAATAAGAAACTGCAAAAAGATCAACTGCTATTGCCACGAACTTTACAACCCGAAGGAAACAAACTTACTTCTTTTAACTGAAATTCTCTTTCAACTAACCGCTAGTATAACAATTAATAGTTTATACTTGATAAGTGTATTATTTAATCAAACTGTTAGTACAGACTATTAAAATATATCGATAATTCATTCAAAATTTTTATTATTTTTTCAAGTTTATCGCTTGTATGTATAACATATTACGAGAACTTGAAGAGGAGGAAAATTTAGTTTTAAAAGATCGATGGCTGAAATCGTTAAAAACTACTTATAAAATTGGAATGGCAGGATTTGGTAATAAAATTTTAATTATTTTTGAAAAATGTACTTTTCCCGAAATTTATGTATTTTCGGGTCTTCTTTTCTTTTTAATGTCGAGTTTCATTTTTACTCCTTTTCTTTTGAACTACATAATTTATAATACAAAAAGTCAACTTTTGTATACGAAATTTTTTGAAAGCGATGAAGCGTTTTTTGGTTACATTTTTCTATTTGAAGCGATAATTCATATTTTCTATTCAACTTTTGTTTCATTTTTGGGATGTGTTTACATATTTTACAGTTATGTTATAATTATTCGATTTCGTAAAGCAAGGTAATTTAATGTAAAAATATTTAATCTTTGAGTATTAATTTTAATGAAAAATTTTAATACATTTTCCTAATTATTTAGTGAAAATTTTGAGACCCCCAAATTAGATCAACTTAACAGCTACAATTTGGAATTGCTTAACGATGCAGTTAAAGATAATTTAATTGCAACCATTAAACTTCATACGAAAAGCATCGAGTAAAGTTTTAAGTACATAAATATTTTGCAATTTAATAAGATCAACACATAATAGTATTTTCTTTTTTTAAGACTATTTCATGAAGCTGATCAAGTTTGTCAACCAGCAACGTTTTTTGCATTATGCCAGGCTGTAATCACTTTTACTGTAACGGGATTTATGGTAAATTTATATTTTTTTATTATCTCAAGATGAATATAAAATGAAATCATAAACACGATCGATTTTTTTTCAGATGGTGGACCAAATAAAAAAAGGGTTTGTAATAAATGCCTTAAAGATGTCAGTGGGTGTCTATGGAGGTATTGTTGTTTTAGTAATAAGTTGCTTGCCGAGTCAATTAATAAATGATTCTAGCAGTGAAATTGGACTTGCATGGTATAAAATGACTCGAATGTATTACTATTCAAATATCCTTTCACTATTTAAAGATTTTTTTATTAAAGTTACAGGAGTAACTGGTATCAGTGGGAGCCTAAAATTAGATTGGCTTATCTTTTGGTTATGATAAGGACATCGAGCCCATGTGGTTGGAAAGGTGGACCTATTTTTGTCTTGAATTTTCAAATGGTCGCATTTGTTAGTAGATTACACTTATATGTTGAAAATTGCATTGAATAGAATTATTTATTTAATCTTGATGTACATTATATGAAGGCCATGAAAACAGGACTGTCTTATATAATGGTTATGATATCTCTTTACTCGTAAAAACATCATACTATAAAGAATAGAATCTAAAGTAGAGGTAGTCACTGTCGCAATTACTATTGTCGAACAAATTTTCTTTCGATGGATATAACATAGGCCGGGAAAATCTTAGGAGAGTTTACTGAAAAATACGCTTGATGACGTTTTGGACATAAAAAATTGGGTTTCGAGAAAACTTATGTTATCATCGAAAAAAAAGGCCAAAATCTATCGATTTGTATGCATCAAATATTTTTTCAGAGTCAATGGTATTTTTGGTTTACAAAGTGGCAATCTGTACATCGCCCGAATGATTTAGCAGGGACACCGTCATATACAAATGCTTCTACATGAAGTATCGATTACAGTATTGATTATTCTCCTTCTTATAAAACTATTTTAAATGTATTCATTCATATTTAATAAATTCAATGTAAAAACGTATGTACTGAAATATATAATTTTATTATATCATATCAATTTTCCATCAAATTAAATGTACATTTATTGCAAAAAATGTAACTCGTTGAAATTATAAAAAAACAAGTATTCTGTCACGCAAAAGGTTGAATAGTAAAAATTATTGAGAAATTTTTCAGAATTGAAATAATAGNATCGTACTCATTGTTAAATAATATACTTTTTCCTAAACTTATATATTTTTTCAGGTCTTAATTTCACTATAATGTCTATTTTCATCTGCGCTCCAGTTATTTTGAATAATATAAGTTATAATACGAAAACTCAATTTTTAGGCACAAAATTTTTTGAAAATGACGATGCATTCTTCGGCTATATTTTATTGTATGAAATTACAGTTAGTATTTTCTTCCTAACATTTATTTCATTGAGTATAGGATCTTACATATTTTATAGTTATCTTATCATTATTCGATTTCAACAAATAAGGTAATTTAAGGTTTAAAATATCCTTTTTTTTTGATTGACGAATTATAATATATTTTCATCATTATTCAGTAAAAAATTTGAAACCCTGCAATTAGATCAACTAAACACTTACAATTTAGAATTGTCTGATGATAAAATTCAAGTTGATGTAATTGCTACCATTAAAAAACATGACAAATGTATCAAGTAAGGTTTTACTTACATAAATATTGAATAAAATTTAACAAGATCAATAATTTATAGCATTTTCATTTTCAAGATTATTTTATGCTGCTGATGAACTTTGTCAACGAGTACTGTTCATTGCTTTATGTTAGGCTATATTGACTTACATTGTACTGGGATTCATGGTTATTTCATATTCATTGAACTTTTAATTAAATTCGTGTGCATATGGCTGAAAATTTTTTTCAGGTGGCGGAACAAATAAAAAAAGGGTTCATAATGAATGCATTGAAGATGGCAGTGGGTTTCGTAGCAAGCATTATCGTTTTAGTTACAATTTGCTTTCCGAGTCAATTAATAAATGATGCTAGCGATAAAGTAGGACTTGCGTGGTATAAAACGGCACAAACTTATTACTTCTTTCATTATTTAAAGATTTTGTTATTAAAGTTACAGGAGTAATTGGTATCAGTGGGAACCAAAAGTTAGATTAGCTTATCTGTTAGTGATGATAAGAACATCGAGCCCATATGAGTGGAAAGCTGGACCAATTTTTGTCTTGAATTTTGAAATGGTTGCTTTTGTAAGTAGTAACATATACTAATGGCATGAAAAATTCATGTATTAAAATTTAATTTTGATTGAAAAATTGTGAAGGCTATGAAAACAGGACTGTCGTATATAATGGCTATGATATCTCTTTACTCGTAAAAACATCGTGTTGCGAGCACTAGCATCTGAAATGAAGGCTGTTAACATTATATTAGTGGCACATCAATTATATAAATATCTCAAACTTATGTAACTCAAAAGAAAACAATTTTCATGTTGAAGTAAAGATCAATAAAAATTGTATACAGCACAACTGAATAACAAGAAATATAATTTCCATGAAAAATTTTACTGAGTTTGTGATTGATCATTAGATGAAAGAAAACTAAAAAATTAAGTTATTTTCGTAATTTTTCGAGAGTATGGTAAATAAAATTTATTGTCATAAATAAATGATCTGAAAATTGGATCCATAATAATATCGTAAATTATATTTTCACAATATAATATTATATGTGTCAATCGATATCTATTATTCTTTTCAAAGCATAACAAAACTATTAACAGCACTACCATAACTTATAAAAAAAATTCTTCTGAAGTTCTAAATTGATTGATCAGTATTGTGTACGTAAATCTAAACACTCACTATTGCTCGCCTCGAATAGATCAAAATTTTGTTGATTAAAACATTTTTCCAATGGATAACGCAATCATTATGAACGAATATGAAGAGTTTTTCATAGAAAATACCTACTGCATTCTTGCAATGCTGAAAGTGATTTTTTTGTGGCCTTTCAGTGATTATAAAATTAAATTGCTGGGTAGAATTACAGCACTAATTATTTTAACTGAAATTCTATTAGCCGCGGTAATAATAAATCGCTATTCATCCATAAAAATTTAACTGATTTTCACTTTGCTCGAGTTTTCAAATAAATGATTCTTTAGATCATAGATACTTATCAAGCAATCAACCACTCAGAAAATTACTCAGAAAATTACTCAGTTATTTTAGGCGAAGCGATCCTTCGATCATCCTTTCTGTTTTTCATAATAAGTAACTACTTGTCGGCATGCACCCTGGATCATGTGGTAAGAGATGATCATTTGAATAAATTCAATATCAATATTGATAAAAAAATCATTTTCAATTTCAAGCTTTCTCCCTGCATATTATCTGTTTACGATCTTTATAAAAATGAAAAAGATTTGACGGAAAAGTATTTCACGATAAAAACAATAAAAACTAGTCATAGATTTGGAACAGCGGCATTTTGTGATTATCAATATTATAATTATAATTATAATTATTATTAATAACATTTATTTTATTTAATTATGTATTTTTGGTATTCATTATACGAAATTTTCATTTTTTCAGTCGCAGTATTTGTTATGATAAACACTTTCGTTTGGGCGCCTTGTATTTTCAATTACATATTATATAATGTTAAGAAATCGATGTTACATCCTAATATTTTCATTAATGAAGATGCGTTATATGCCAACTGTTTACTTTTATATGAAATACTGGCTGTTTTAGTTTATTCAACTTTTTTAGGATCTTTACTTTGTTCTTACGTCTTCTACACTTGTCTTATATTCTTGAGATTTCAACGTACAACGTAATTACACTGCAAATAAAAAATAATTTGTTCTGAGATAAATTTTATGATGTATATTTCGACTATAGAGAAATGATTGATGGCTTAAAAAAGCATAAAAATTATAGTTTAAAAAATGAACTGAACGATGAGATTGTTAAGTGCATTAAGTATCATCAGAAATGCATCGAGTTAAGTTTTGATTGAGATACTGATAGAATTGAAACAATGAGAAATTTATATAAGCAACAAATGATCATGGAAAATTTTTTTAGATTATTCGATCTTGCATCGCACTACGTCCGTCCAATGGTTTTTATCGTATTATTACTACTACTATTCACGTTAACCACGTGTGGATTTTTGGTTTGAAAAAGACTTTTTTACGAATTCAGAGTTATCGAATAAATTGTTTTTAATTTCTTTCTTTGATAACTTACATTCATTGACAAATAAATTAATTTTTTTTAATCCTGTGTTTTTGTCAGGCTTTGGTCCAATTCAAAAAAGGATTTGTAACGGATGCTTTGCAGATGGGCTTTGGTTTTTTATCTTGTATCATTACTTTAGTGTTACTTTGCATCCCGAGTCAATTTATTATCGATGTTAGTGATAAAGTTGGTCATGCATGGTAAAAATTGGAACATATACCTAATAACATTTTCGAACAAAATTTTAAATCACTTTATCTTACAAAATAGCTACTTCAATACTAATTGGTACGAGTGGAAACCGAAAGACAGATTGGTTATACGGAGGACCTTAATGAGAACTTTATATCCTTGCGGTTGGAAAGCCGGTCCCAGTATCACGTTAAACTTACGAACGGCGGCTTTTGTGAGTTTTACTAATTTTACACGTTTGTAAAAAATATGCTAATTTTTTTTTTCATCAAATTCCAGGTCATTAAGACAGCAATGTCATACGTCATGACAATGATATCAATTTACGCGTAATGGCGGGAAAATAAGGGCAGTAATTTTTATGTTTTACCAATCGAAGCTCAACATAATTCAAGCAAATAAAGTTCTAAATGTTAAAAGTGTTTTTTTGTTATACTTATATGCTTTGTCAAAATTCATAATAATTGAGTATTCATATTCTCATTATCTTTACGTTTTTCGTGAAAAATTCGTTTATGACCTTTCAAACTGATTCTTATTTTGAACATCTTTTCAAAGCGACAGCAATCATTCACAAGCGATAAATTGACTTTACGAGCAAATCAAATGTGAGAATTAACATAGTGTAGACAAAAGTATTGTTGTATTTATACATTCGTAATCTTAAAACGTTTGGAGAATCGTCCGATTCGTATTTTCGTGGACTGTCATTAGGTGCCTTAACAAATTACATTTTTGTCCAAATTTCTTGTCACAATTGTCGCATTCAAAATTTTTGTGACCCTCATGAACTGTCTTTTGGTGTAAGCGTAGTTTTGATTTACATACAAACATCTTCTTGCATTTGTCACATGCGTAATCTTTGCGACCTTCGTGGACTGTTGTTACGTGGAAAAACAAATTCGATTTATACAAAAATTTTTTTTCGCAATGGCCGCATGCAAAGTCTCGGCGATCTTCATGAAGTGCCCGTTGGTGGTAGAGCAAATGTGTTTTTCGTCCAAATACCTTCTCGCACTTGTCGCAGGCAAAATCTTTACGACCTTCGTGAATGATCTTTATGTGTGCAAGCAAACTCTTTTTTTCGTCAAATTTCTTCTCGCAACTGTTGCATGGGTTATCTTTTCGCTTTTCGTGTACTGTCCTTTGATGGAAAAGCATATCTGATTTTTGTCCAAATTTTTTTTCACACTTGTCGCATGGGTAATCTTTGCGACCTTCATGAACTGTTCTTTGGTGTTGGAGCAAATGTTGCTTTTGTCCAAATACTTTTTCGCACTTGTCGCATGCAAAATCTTTGCGACCTTCGTGTATGGTTTTTTGGTGAAAAACCAAACTAGATTTGTGTCCAAATTTCTTTCCACACTTAGTCGCAAGGGTAATCTTTGCGACCTTCATGGGTCGTCCTTTGGTGGTGAAGCAAACTCGACGGTTGTCCAAATACTTTCTCACATTTGTCGCATGCGTAGTCTTTGCGACCCTCGTGGACTAATCTCATATGCACACGCAAATACGATTTTTTTCCAAATTTCTTCTCGCACTTGTCACAATCAAAATCTTTCCGACCTTCGTGTACAGTCCTTTGGTGCCTGATTAAATCGAATTTTCTTCCGAATTTCTTCTCACAATTGACACATCCGTAATATTTTCGACCCTCGTGGACAATATTTTGATGTTCAGACAAATTCGATTTTTGTAAAAATTTGTTCATAAGCAAACTTGATTTATTATATAATTTCTTTTTACAATAGTCATCTTTGAAAACTCTGAAGGTTAAATCTTTCCGACTTTCTTGGACTGTTTTTTGATAAAAGAGCAAATTCGATTTTTTTCTAATTTTGTTCTTACTGTTGTCGTACGTGGTATCTTTGCGACCATCGTGTGCCGTTTTTATGTGCACTAGCAAATTCTGCTTCGTTACAAATCTCTTGGCGCACTTTTCACACAAGTAATCCCTGAAAACTTCGTGGAATATTTTTTTGTGCTTGATTACAGATGATTTATTTTCAAATTTTCTCTCGCACTTGTTGCATGTGAAATCTTCATGAGCTTTGTGTACTAATTTTTGGTGCGTAAGCAAACTTGATTTTTTCACAAATTTCTTCTCGCAATGATCGCATGAAAAATCTCTGCAGCCTTTGTGTTCTAATATTTGATGTCTACTCAAATGACTTCGGAACTCGAATTTCTCCTCTTACTTGTCACATGCGAAATTTTTCTTTTCGTTGTGAATTGTGTCTTGGTGTGTTACCAAGCTTGATTCTAGTGTAAATCCCTCCTGACAAATATCACAAATGTATTTTTTGTCGTCTAAAACAACAATGTCATGTTCACTTAAATTATTTTTCAAGTCAACTTCTTCGGAACTCTTCTCGTTTTTATTCATTTTGGTGCCTGAATTAAACGTTGGATCTTTCTATTTAGTTCGACAGAAATTTATTGAGTAAAATTTATCTTCTGGTATTATATCTCGTTTCAATAGAGAAGACAACATTTAAATACATTTGTTTTTACTATCAACATGATTAATGTAACGGTGTCAAAAACGTTTATGTTTGTATTGTATACAATTTAGTTACTGATTTATCTGTTTATAAATTATCCTTAAAATATTAGAACTAGTTTCAGAATCTAACGTGATGACGGTCCTCTTGAGTAGTATATCAACACGGATATGAAAACACTTCCGGCTACGTCACACCTTATCATTGATCATACCAGCCTACCTTATCAGAGGCTCACTACGTCACGTTAGTGACCTTTCCCTTTTTTCAACGTCAGCTTCGTCTCGCTGGGTTACGAGAGTTGAGCCCCATTGAGATGCTCGATCGTACCTTGATGTGTCTCGAAGGTTGGTGGAGTAGGAGGAGGCTAGTTCTTGCTTTATAAAGATGAATTATGACGATATAAAATGACGATATTTATGAAAATTGAAACATTATTTTTTTATTTAACGTCTCATTTATTTTTTATACAATTCGTTTATTGTTTAAATATTTACAGATTTCGTTTGGTCAGTAAAAATATCAAGTCAGATGGAAAAACCCAGTTTCGTTATGCTTGGTTTTCAGACAAATAGAAAGCTCACGTCATTGAGAAATGCAAGTTTATTTGATCATTGTAATATCAATAAAAGACATATTTTCATTCCTTGCAAATTATAAAATAATTTTGTTCTCGCAGTGTGCAAATTTCATTAATTTTGACTAATCAAATACATTGAAAAATCAGCTTTAACATTAAATATTACATTTGCTTGGCTCCAGTCTTGTATCATGGGATAAAAAAAAAAATAAAAAAATAAAGTTATTTTTGAAATAATCCAAGAGTACAATAAATAAATTTTATTGCCATAAATAAATTGTCTGAAAATTGGATCCGTACTATTTGCGATAGAAAAATCGTAATTATTTTTATAATATAATATTATAAGGGTGGATCGATACCTATTCTTCTTTTCAAAGCACAATAAAACTATTAATAGCATTAATAGTAATGATATATAAAAATATTTTCTTAAGTCTCAAACCGATTGATCAATACTGTGGTCGTAAATCTAAATATTCAGCTGCTTACCTTAAATTGATTGACATACAGTTGATAGAAGCATTTTACCAATGGAGGCCACAATAAATAACAACGAAATTGAAGAGTTCTTCATAGAGCATACCTACTGCATTCAAAAGTCGCTCAAAGTCATTTTTTTGTGGCCTTTTTTTGATTATAAAACTAAATTGCTGGGTAGAACTGCAACACTAATTATTTTAACAGAAATCTTATTGGCGGCGGTAAAAATACATCACTGTTTATCTATAATAATTTGATTGATTTTTATCGTGACAAGGTTTAAAAATTAACTTTTTGTTTCAAGATCATAAACATTTATCAAGCAATTCAGTATCCCTCCGAAAATGACTCAGTTAATTTGGGTGAACCGATCCTTCGATCATCCTTCGTCTTTTGTTTGATAAGCAACTACATAAAGGCATGCACGCTGGATCATGTGGTAAGAGAGGATCATTTGAATAAATTGAATATCAATATCGATAAAAAAATCATTTTCAATTTCAAGCTTTCTCCCTGCGTATCATCTGTTTACGATCTTTATAAAAATGAAGAAAATTTGATGGAAAAGTATTTCACGATAAAAACAATAAAAACTAGTCATAGATTGGGAACGGCAGCATTCTGTGATTATTATTATCATCATTATTATTTTATTTAATTATGTGTTTTTAGTATTCACGCACACAAAATATACATTTTTTCAGTTGCAGCATTTGTAATGTTATACACCTTCTTCTGGGCTCCTTATATTTTCTATTACTTATTATATAATGTCAAGATATCGATTTTCCATCCCAATATTTACGTTCATGATGATGCGTTATACGACAGCTGTTTACTTTTATATGAAATACTCGGTGTTTTTATTTATGCAACTTTTTTAGGATCCTTACTCTGTGCTTACGTTTTCTATACTTGTATTATATTCTTGCGATTTCATCGTGCAAAGTAATGGCATTGCAAATGAAAAAATATTATTTTTATTTAGATTAATTTAAAAACATATTATTCGACTTTAGGGAAATGATTGTTGGCTTGAAAATGCATACAAAATATAGTTCAACAACTGAATTGAACGATGAGATTATAAAATGTATTAAGTATCATCAGAAATGCATCGAGTTAAGTTTTGATTGAGAGACTGAAAGTTAAAACGATGAGAAATTTATATATTCAACAATTAATCTAATCATTTTATTAGATTATACGATCTTGCATCGCACTACGTCCGACCAATGGTTTTTATCGTGCTATCACTTATACTATTTACGTTGACAACGTGTGGATTTCTGGTTTGAGAATAACGATTTTTTATTCTAGAATTATAAAATTATATTGATTTTATTTGTTCGATATTTTATTCATATATTGACAAAAACATTGATTTTATTATATAATCCTGTGTTTTTGTCAGGCTTTGGTCCAATTCGAAAAAGGGTTAGTAACGGATGCATTGCAGATGAGCTTTGGTTTTCTATCGTGTATGGTTACTGTAGTATTACTTTGCATTCCAAGTCAATTTATTATCGATGCTAGCAATGAAGTTAGATATGCATGGTGAAAAATATTCCTAATTAAACTAAACTTTTTTTTTATTTAAAATAATTTTTCATCTCACAATATAGTTACTTCGATTCCGATTGGTACGAGTGGAAACCGAAAGACAGATTAACTATTCGCAGGACCTTAATGAGAACTTTATATCCTTGCGGTTGGAAAGCCGGTCCCAGTATCACGTTAAACTTACAAACGGCGGCTTTTGTGAG